GCTATTGTATTTGCCGGCGTGTGCGTATCATTGGGGTTTCGATGAGCAAGCAGACCGCTATGACGATTCCAGGGGATGGGGTTCCGATGGACACGGAGCGTCGAGCTTTCATGCAAGTTTCGCCCGGCGCCATCTTGTCAGGCGCGAGTACGACACCGCGATCGAGGTACTTCGGATGGATGAGCATCGAAATGGTGGACGTTCACGCGGACGATGCGTCGAATTTATCGAGGAACACGCGTCGAGCTCGTTCGACGTCTTTGGATGTTAAGAAAACTGAACATTCCGTTGGAGACGACGCTCGAGAGGCTTGGTTCAATGCTGAGGATCGTTCAAGACACACGGAAATGCAACATCAGCGCCCTCTGACGTGCAGCAGACACGAAGAAAATGGAAGCACAGAGATGTGGAGAAGTTTGGACAAAAATGCCAGCAGAAATTACCTAGACACTGCAGCGAAGAACCACGGAGGACGAAGACGAAGAATGTGAACCAAGTTTCTGGACACGAATCCAGCAAGACTATCCAATAATTTATTTATATCGATTATAAAGTATCATAAGGGTCCAGGGTAAACTACGAGGCAGTCGTCGCATCGTTGAAGGAAGGAAGAAGATTCGCGTGCGCGGTTCGAGCGGAAGTGGAGGCGCGATGGAAGGCAATCGGAAGCGACTTTCGGGAGATTGCGATCGCAGGATCGCAGGATCGCTTGTGACTACTCGCTCGGCAGGGATATACCTAGGGAAATTCGGGGAGACCGCGGATGGGGGATGAAAGGACGCGATGAGAGAACTGTCTGTACGATAATTCTGTAAATACGAGTTTAATTCCCGTTACCGATTAATTACGCTCGCCATGATTATTATTATTACCGCCGCGATAGATCATTACCTTCATTGTCACCATCGTCGCTGCTATTACTATTATTACTATTGCCATTATTATTTATATTCTTATCCCTATTATTATTATCATTCTTCTTATTATTATTACTATTATTATTCTTGCGATTTTTGTCATTGTAACGAGAGGAAGATATAATTCACTATCAATACAAACCGTACTGTAAACGCGTTCTTTGTTGGACAGAGAGAGTCTGTGTGCGAGAGTGAGGGAGAGAAAGAGCGAGAGATAGTGGGGTTCCGGCTAACTTTGCAACAGCGGTTCTTCAACGGACTTTCCGAACGAGAGAGCCGACGTATCGTCGAGGGAGAGGGAGAGAGAGAGAGAGAGGAGAGAAAGAAACGTGACGTTCGGAACGACTGAGAAATGAACGAGAAAAATGGAGAAATTCTGAAACACGGGCACGCGAGGGGACGAGAAGGGTTGGGAGGGGTGGGGTACAGGGGATCAGGCTATATCGTAGGGAACCGATGGGGACACACGCACGCTATGGTTACACAGGCGCGGGAAATATGCGAGGAAGAGTGGAGGGGGCAGGAGATAAAGAGGAGAATACAGAACCCGCTGAACGTGAAGCAGGAACATAGTATATAATTATATATATACTATATATATAAATATAAATATATAAATATATAAATATAAATATGAATATAAATATAAATATAAATGAATGATATATTATATATATATAAATATATATATAAATATAATTGCCATTTTCAGGCAGCCGGGGCTAGTTAGGATTGGGGCGGGTCAAGGGCCGGGTTGGGATGTATAATTTAGAATAGCGAGGAAACCCCAGCGATCCAGGAGGGGGTTCGATCGTCGATCGAGCCACGGTGTCGATCGATCGACGATTGTCATAAACGTTAAGTTGAATCGGACGCGACACGAGAGCGGACAGCGTGACGACGCGCTGCAAGCTAGAACAAGATGGCGGTTGGGGTTCGAGGGCGCGTGGAAAGCGTCACGAGCGGGAACAAGCGCGTGAAGAAGGGACGAAACGAGCGTAATGAAGCGGCGTCTCTGAATCGATCATCTATTTACGTTCGCGGTGCGTGCTACCTCGTCCCGAATGGCCGACCGACGCGGCGACGCGAAATGGCGGCCGGCGCGAAATTCGAACGGCGGAACCGCCGCTCGGTGCGTCGCGCGAACCGGAAAGCGATTGACGCAGAGTTTTCACAGGGATCGAGCATTTCGACGAGCGTGCACGTCTCACCGAACGAATATGGAGCTGCGGGGACGGGGGCGGGGCGTACGAAGATGGAGGCGTAGGCGAATGAACATATTATAAATATAAATATATAAATATATAAATATATATATTAAAAGGCAGAAATAATAATAACGATAAAGAAGGGATTAAACAGAAAAAAAAACAACCGTAGAGACTAAGAGAATCTATTTCGGGTCCGTGTGTGTATACGCGTTTTTTTATATTGCAACGACGCAAGTCGCGCGCGCGAGTTTTAAATCGATAGGGGGAAAAAAAAAGAACGAAAGGGAGGAGGAGGAGGAGGAGGAGGAGTGGAGGAGGAGGAGGAGGGTGAAAGGGTGGAAGGAGCGTAGCCGTAAAAAGTTTGTCCTTGGACAGGGGTGGAGTCGTTCGAGGGTTGGAATGTTGGACGAATGTTGAGTGATATATTATATTATTGTATAGCACGCGTCTAGATGGCGAATAGTTCGGGGAGAGGGGGCTGGTTTTTGCTCTTCGCTCGACTACGATTTCGCTCCATCGACCGGGGCTTCCCCCCCTTTCCTAATACGATTTTTCTCCCTGCTTCTCCAACATCCTCTCGACGCCATTTTCACGTTACCTCTAGGTTCGTTTCGTTCATCCTTCGTTCAGCTACTATATCCCACGCGTGTATTTAATTCGACCATAGTTTCGACTGCCCACATCGCACATATCCTGCGGATTAGAACGGTATCGATCGACGATCTATTCAACCGTCACCGAAAAAAGAAAAAAAAAGAAAAAAATATAAAAAAAAGAAGAAAAAAAATAGGAGAAATAGAGAAAGCAAGTCTCGACCAGGTCAATAGCGATAGTAAAATTGTTCAATTTCGATCGTCACCCCGTTCCCGACTACCCACCTAGCACCTTTTTTCCGCGCGACCACTCACAATCAGTAGCGAGCAAAGAGGAGAGCAGAAACCACGGAAACTCATGCGAAACGGCAGTCCGAGGACCTGTGGCCGCGTTTCGAGGCCGTTCATGAACTAATTAATCTGTTAACTGGAGCGGTGAGTTCTTGGCGAATGGGTATAAGAGATCACAACTATCAGCGAGAGCGTGAAAGGTATAAACGGAGGACGATGTTGAAGGGGTAAACGAAAGAGAACAGGCGAACGGTTCGTACGACAATAAGGTATCGATTAGTTAATCAGAGATGAAATAATGTAAAATACAAGTGCAAAAGCAAGTATACATTATTATATTTATTATAATACGAGGGTTCATCGTGTCGGTATCCAAAGCTGGCGACGGGGGGCGGGGGTTGGGGTTGGGGTGGTTGGAGAGCCAGCGAAGCAGGGAATATATTCGGGATCACGTGAAACGAACGTATTCTCTCTTTCAGCGGAGAACTCGAGTGGAGAGAGGGGAAGAGAGATGCGACGGGGTGTCTGCGACAGAGGTTGGGGGAATTTTCACGGGACGAGGCTCCTTTTTAGAGTTTTTAAACGCGAAAATGCGCTGCGCTGTGAGGAAACGACAGCTCGCACGGTCGAGGGAAGACCGGAAGCGGCGAGTTGCGCGATCTGGCGAGGGGAGAAAGATCAACGGGCGATGGACTAAGTCGAGAAGAAACGGACGGGAGTGAGTGTGGCAAGTGGCTGGAACGGGGTGATCCAGGGTCGGACCACCGATCTCGATCCCCCGTTTCGGCGGACACGTCGTTTCCTTTTTTCTCGCTGACGAAAGGAGGACGACCGGCTGGATCGATGACCGCGGATCGATCTCGATCGCCGCGTGGACATACCAAAGGATCGTAGATTTTACGCGAGTAAAGATGAAAAAAAAAATACATTATTTATTGTTTACACTTACGTACTCATTAGTGAATGACACACACATACACACACACACATACACACACAGAGAGACATACACAAACACAGGGACACAGGAACACAGAATGGATTGCGAGAGTGAGACATACGCAGAGCGTGGTTCACGAACCTGATCGAGAGACCGGCGTGTCATGTTGATTTTGCGAGAAGAATCTTGGCTGTAGGAAGCATGTGTGCGTGTGACTGTGCGAGTGAGAGAGACAATTTGTAAAATGATGGAATCGAAGCTTCCCGGGAGATCCGGTGCACCGATCCGTCGGAGAGATCGACGAGAGGCTAGTTTTTTCTTGTAAGTGACCAGTTTGTTAGCGTCCGCTCGTCGATCGATCGATCAGCGATCGAGAATCCGATGAAACAGTCGCCGTTGCAATCGTTGAACGAAATATCGCGGGAAAATTCGAACCGGTCTCCGTCCTCGCCTAGGGGAAAAATGTCGTGGAGGAAAATTCGCGCGCGGGGAAGATTATCTGGGGAATTAATAAGATCGGCGAAAGAGGATAGAGATCGAACGATCGAGCGGGGACTTCGATTGCAGCATGAGGAAGCGTGTAGCTATGTAATAGAGACACACAAGTTCTGGAGGCGCTGGGCGATTGTAAACTACTGTAAACTACGATGTTACTACGTTTTACCAAGAGCTTATTGTAGTCGAGAACCATTTAATGAGAAAAAGAGAAAAAATACCGTACACACAGCGACACAGGAACATGAATCACACGCGCGACACACGGAGACACTGAGGTGAACGAGGTGGGAGGAGTGGTGGATATGGAGGTAAAACGGAAATACTATGTCGCGGCGAGAGGCAAAGCAAACCAAACCAAACCAAATAAACCAAAACAAACAAGATAAAGAAAAAAAAAAACACAAAAAAATACAAAAAAAAAAAAATGGTAATTGAGTGTAGCACGAAAAAGAAACTTCTTTACACTTTTGCACGAGACGTGTGTTGTACTTAAATTAATTATCATTGACATATGTAATTAACGTTTTATTACTTAGCAATTAAACTTAATTTATTTATGATTAATCGCAGTCGCTTGTGTTGTGGCACGCCCTTGTTGAACAAACCGATCTTTAGCTCGTGTGTTGTTTCACGCTCCCTTTCGAGTATCGCGCAAGAGATGAGGGATGGAAATATGTGCAATTCGACAGTGTCGAAATAAAAATTAAGAGAAACCAAAACCGGACTTCACTCACACGATTCGAATCGTCTTCGATCATTTTTCTTTCTCTCTATCTCATTCTCTCACATTTTCGTTCAATTTTCTTCTCACCAATCTCGTCTCTGTTCTTTCTCTTTGTTTTCACCAAATTTTATTCAAAGCCACATCGAAGTATATAAAAAATAAATTTGCAGAAAAATGAGTAATAGAACGAACGTTCTGTTCGTTGCTTCCCAGTCCCAGTTTACGAGGTGAAGGCCTGTATACCAGTAATGGCTTTGCCGAGTATCAGAGTGTGAATGTCATTGGTACCTGCGATAAACGACATTGAAACGTGAATGTTCTCTCATTTCGGAGAATTCACGTCACTATTAGATGCCCATCTACGTACCTTCGTACGTAATAACGCTTTCCAGGTTCATCATATGCCTGATAACGTGATACTCGTCCGATACCCCGTTGCCACCTAACATGTCCCTGGCAGTCCTCGCGATTCCCAGGGCCTTGGCGGCAGAATTCTTCTTTATCATGGAGATCATCTCTGGTGTGGCTCTAGCACACGCAATTTTACCAGAAAAAATACATCAGATACCAATTAAATGGACAGAGAACAGAAGAGAATGCCGAAAAACGACCTAGGTCTAGCAGCTTTTTAGCAAAGACGTTAGCCCTAACGACCCTCTCCAGGGAACGTTGACCCCAACCCAAAGTCCTCGACAGAAACAGACTACCCTGACAATTATTAAAAGCTATACACTGTGCAAGATCGTCAAGCAACCCTTACTTGCCCTCGTCCTTCAGCCTGCCCACCCTCAGACAAGCCTGAAGGCTGAACGCGATGTCGCACATCATGTCGGCCAGCTTCTTCTGCACTAATTGGTTGGCCGCCAGTGGCCTGTTAAATTGCTTCCTATCCATGGTATACGATCTGGCGACCTCTAGACAGGCCTCAGCGGCGCCCAAAGCACCCCACGCGATTCCGTACCTGGCGTTGTTCAGACACGAGAACGGACCCTGCGCGAATATTTCTTTAAGAGTGACGTTTCCACCCTACCAGTGCATTCTGGACTTACTTTCAGACCTTGGGCGTTTGGCAATAGGTTCTCTACAGGCACCTCCACGTTGTCCATGAGGATCATGCCCGTGGCCGAGGCCCTTAGCGAGAACTTGCCTTCGATTTTTGGGGTGGACAGTCGGTTCTCGTTCCCTTTTCTCTCGACCAGGAACCCTCGAATGATTCCATCCTCGCATCTGGCCCAGATAACTAGTAGATCAGCGACGGGAGAGTTGGTGATCCTGGATTCAACAGAACAGTCCAAGCAAAGGGTCCTTAAGAGCTTGGACTCTGGTCTTTTTAGAGAATCGTGTAGTGAACTGACCATGATTTGCTTCCGTTCAGTTTATAGACCTTTCTGTCAAAGTCGTACGTAGCCTTGGTCTCCATGGAGGATGGGTCACTACCGTGGTTGGGCTCGGTCAGCCCGAAACAACCGATCACCTCACCAGACACTGAAATCCACCAAGATCCTGTTTTCAGAGACTCCTATGCACACTGACATGCACATGCACGCAATTCATGAGACAACTTCGCGAATTCTCGTTCGAGATGGTTCCTTGACCCTCGATATCATCCATCATCGTGCTTTCCATTCCTGTCAATCCTCTTTCTCATTCAGAATTCGCAAAGCAATGTCTCGTTTCATCGTCAATCTTAGAAACGTACCCAACTTTGGCAAGTACCGTTGCTTCTGCGACTCATCCCCGTGGGTATAAATGGCTCCACAGACCAAGGAGGATTGCACTGACAGAGCAGATCTGTACGCGCTATCCACAGCCTCGATCTCTTTGGCGAGGAGACCATAGGCCACAGAGGAGACGCCAGCAGCACCGTAGCCAGACATGGTGCAGCCCAGGATTCCCAGCTGGCCCAATTCCCTCATGATCTCCTTGTGGAAAATTTCACCGCGGTTTGCTTCGACCACGCGAGGTAAAAGTTTCTCCTGGCAGTAAGATCGAAACTGATCCCTGATCTGGATCTCATCCTGCGTGAGCTGGGACTCGAGAGCGAATGGGTCTTTCCAGTTGAAGCTAGCTGTTTCGTTTCGTGGAGGATGGTTCATTGAGATCGATTATTTCAAAATTATTAGATCAAATTGCATCGAGAAATTTATGGTAAAGTAGGGGAATTAGTTTATTTATGAATGCAGAACAAAATTCGATTTCGAAGCGAGTAGTTATTCAAATTCATATTTCCACCTGATACCGCGAGAACTTTGCTTCGAGGATAAGTCGACATGTGCTGCCACCTAACGGCGAATTAGGGAACTCAGGCGACACGAGCAACACGTGCGAAAATAAACATAAAATTGTTAGATGGAGAAGAAGAAACTTACATTTTCCTCCGAGCGAAGACGATATTGAGATCTCTGATGATCCAATTTGTAGGTTAAGAAGCATAATAGTGAACAAAATGTGTGGTTTGTACCTTCGAAAGAAATAAACTTACCGTGGAATCAAATGGTTCCATAAAGAGAATGAAACTTGCCATGTTTTTGTCTTAAAAGAACAATTGTTTTTAAACAAAATAAAAAAAAAGGATACGTCTCGATGAAATTCCAGAAGAAAATAGACCGAATCTTGGTAAGGATCTGAGCGCGTAGGCCGTCATGTTCAGAGTCGACAGAAAACTAACTTGTTTACTCGAGCGACCAATCTATTATATCATATTAATCTAACCTTACTTAACAACTGATGAGGTCATCAAATGTCGTTATCAGAACACACTTTTATCTACGTAACCTCCAACAATGTTACACTGATAATACACAATCACTACTACCGTTGATTCTGGAATTGGCGCGAAATTCAAACGTACAATCACTACAATTAAACATTTTGCAATACGAATTTGAAATGGCCAAATAAATTACTTAATAAAATTGGGGAATAAATAACCGACCCCCTATCCTCATTTTATATCTCAACAGTATATTCTAAAAAAAAAACTTCAGTTCCATGTCAAAATGGCTAATTAATAATTCAGTCAATTTGAAACGAGTTCAAGCCCTCTTTTAGTCGACTCGTTCCATTTATCTTTCGCACAAGCATATTCGCCACATAGCAACGACCATTAATTAGATTCAGCTTTTTAAAATCATTTCCACTTCCATGATGAAAAGAGAAAAATTAATTAAAAATTAAAGAAAGGAAAGGTAAAAGAAGAATATAACTCAAATTTTGCGCATGCAAGACATCAGATAACAGGTTCCGAGATATCCTTACCATACCCAAGTCACTCTCAACATTACCGACATCAGATAACAGGTTCTGAGATATCCTCACCATATTTAAGTTACTCACGACAATACCTACAGAGATATTTGGGTATGAATGAGTCTTTCGATAATCGATAACATCACTTCCAATGTTACCGACCGAAGATACGAGAAAATTGATACTTCAAATCTGCAGAAAATTTATGGTAAAAAAGAAGGTCCTTTGTGATACTAACTCGGAAAAACTTTATTCAAATATTCAAGAAATATCTTTGGAGATGAAGAAGATCGATCCCGTAGGTACAGACATCATGTTCCGATTATTGTAACATGGAGGACTTCGATGAACGCTATATTAGTCGATATGCCTGTGTGAATTATGTCTAAAGTCTAAACAATGTAAATTACAGGAAGATCCTTTATCGATCTCTTCTCCCTAATTTAACAGGTGAAAATCTACAGCGTCGAGATCGCAGCCAATTAGCTCATATTACTTGCTATATCGTCCATAATTGTATCATAGCTATTAGTTATGTATGATATAACTATAGTGATACAATTAGAAATGATATGTCAAATAATACCGATTGCCCAGGTCTCACCACGAGGAGGTGCTGCGAATGGAGACACACCCTATCCACGACCCATCCTCCCTCCATTCGCGAAAAAATTAAACATTCAAATAAATTCCCCTTTTTGTTTACGTTTGCAAAACGTTCAATCTTTGATCGTTGTACAAAACAATGGCAAAAAGGATTGAAACAAAAAATCGACGCGAAAAGCTAAACCTGAAAATGAAAGATAAATAATTTCACTTAGAAATAAATAGTAAATTAAGCATTAAACTTAAGCATTAAACTAACTCTATGCGAGACATTATTTCATTTCTGTATCAATATTTTACATTTTTGTTGCCACAAAATATAGATAATTAGAAAATTTTAACGAAAGGAAGATAACATTTCTGAGCATGAAAATGTAGAATAATTTATAATTAAAAAATTAAAAAATAAAAAACCACATCAGAAGAAATAAATGTCTCGCAAAGAATTAAATTTATTTAACCAACTTAATACCATCAAGCAATACTACTACTACTTAATCCCACCAATACCACCATTAATTATATATAAACTCAATTATTAACATGCATAACTACCTTTAGTTAACCTTAATACTGCCTGACTAAAAATGTTATATCACTTCAATACGAATGTGCCTAGCATTGTAGTGTAAGCCTCCTGCTTACGTATTAATTCCTTACCTAAGTACTACTTACTAGTATCTTAACCTCCAAGTATATTACTTAGACGTAAATGCAACTTAGTTTAAAAATATCCTGTCTGACTAAAAATTTAGTTCACCCTGCCTGAATAAAAATCTAAATCATCCTGCCTGATTAAAAATTTAATTCGTCCTGCCTGAGTAAAAATCTAATTCACCCTGCCTGATTAAAAATTTAATTCGTCCTGCCTGAGTAAAAATCTAATTCACCCTGCCTGATTAAAAATTTAATTCGTCCTGCCTGGTTAAAAATTTAATTCGTCCTGCCTGAGTAAAAATTTAATTCGTCCTGCCTGATTAAAAATTTAATTCGTCCTGCCTGAGTAAAAATCTAATTCACCCTGCCTGATTAAAAATTTAATTCGTCCTGCCTGGTTAAAAATTTAATTCGTCCTGCCTGAGTAAAAATTTAATTCGTCCTGCCTGAGTAAAAATCTAATTCACCCTGCCTGACTAAAAATCTAAATCATCCTGCCTGATTAAAAATCTAATTCATCCTGCCTGACTTAAAATGTAGTTCATCCTGCCTGAGTAAAAATCTAATTCATCCTGCCTGACTTAAAATGTAATTCATCCTGCCTGACTTAAAATGTAATTCATCCTGCCTGAGTATAAATCTAATTAAATTCTATATGTCAAATATCGAATTGAAACAAAGAAATAGAAAACCACCATGTCACTGACTTCCGCCAGTGATCCACAAGAGATTTTAAAACAAATTTTGTAAATCCTACCGATATAAAAATACAAATTATTTTCTTACATCACAATATACGTGTATAAAACCTTGTGAGGCGAAAAGGTTATACAGTCCACATATAAAAAATATAAAAATACAGACTATATATCAGAAATATAGAAATACACCTCACTTATCAGAAATATAGAAATACAGCTTACTTATCAGAAATATAGAAATACAGCTTACTTATCAGAAACATAGAAATACAGATTACTTATCATGAATATAGGAATACAGCTTACTTATCAGGAATATAGGAAGAATACAGCTTACTTATCAGGAACATAGAAATACAGCTTACTTATTAGGAACATAGAAATACAGCTCACTTATTAAGAACATAGAAATACACGTCACTTATCAGGACTATAGGAATACAGCTCACTTATCAGGAATATAGGAATGCAGTCTACACATGAGAAATATAGACATATACCCCACGTATAAAAAGGATTAAAGATTTGATTTAAAACCTTATCTATATAAAAATCTGAATCTTAAGGAAAAAGAATGTGGAAGTTATATGGAATTTGAATCTTCTCACATCATCTCCGCAGGTCTCACAATGGTTCCTGAAACATACCAAACTGCAGAAAAATTAGTAAAATAATATCAAAAATAATTAATTATAGTAATTAACGTGATGAGCGTATAAATAAATAAATGAGGCTTTCATACATACTATTCCATTACTGAGCCTCTGCCATACTTACATAAGCTCGAAAATTTGAAATGCTATTAAATATAGCGTTACGAAATTTTGCAAATTTTGTAAATTAATAAATCTGAAACAAACTTATGTACTGGATTAGTAGATAAAAAAAATATATTTTTAAATTGACAGCTGAAAGAAAACAAATTGCATTTAAAAAGAACTTTAATAGTACTCAAACAGAATTTTGCAAAAACTTGTAATTTAAATAATCACACTTTACTGCAATTTATTTGTGATTATTTTTACAAAAAAAAGGATATAAATAAAAATAGCAATTCCTCCGAACGCGAAAAAAAAAGAAAAAAGAAACAAAATACTATTATTTGTACGAAGAGTCGAATTACAGACACGAAACATTTTACTTGCAAGATTTCTATTAAAAATAGACGAGTTTCGCGAATAAATTTTAATTGATGCAAAACAAATTCGGACATTCGTGAATTTAGCAACAAAAAACTGAAGATACAACAATTATTTAAAAAAAAAATAATTATAACAATGAACAGTCCCTATACTCTTGATTCTAAAATATAAATTTTTATTGACATCTAAAGTAAATTAAAACTCTAGAAGGTTGATTTGAAAAAATTTAATCTTTTAAGAAAAAAAAAAGGAAAAAAAAATTGTTCAAGACAAACAAATACATTATACAGCAGTGTTTTTAATAACAAACATTTTGGTAAGAAGGGGCGCTGAAAAAAAACACAATGGTAGCCAGAAGGGCCACCGAAACAAAAATTTTCACTCAATGAAAACCCGAATAAAAAACCGTGAGTGAAATATCATTTCAAATTTCGCAACACTAATTTATTAAATTTACCGATAATAAAGAAAATTTACAAAATCAAACGCGAAGGGTGCTTCTTAATATTTGCTATAAAAATTAATTTACCATTTACAAAAAATCAATAAAAAAAAAAAAAGAAAAAAATATATAAAAAGAAAGAAAAAACAGATAATTCCCGAAAATAATCATAATAATATGCATTGATTACGAACGCAACACTAATAAATACTAATTTATGCACCCATTTGCAAAAATACGCAACACTAATAGCAGAGAATTATGGGCAGCCATGGTCCAGGCTGCTGATACGTGATCAGCCACGTGCAGCTCTATAGCTGCAACAGGTGGTTCTTCTCAGGAACAGGACTGTACTTCCACAGTCTCAGTGGAAGAATTTGGGCATTACGTATTCGCAACACTAATTGAAAAAACGCGATCTTATTTCAACGCAACGCTAACTATAAAGGTAGATAATTTAAAAAAAAAAAATAAATAAATAAAAACGCGATAAAATTAAACGCAACGCTAATTCTTGAAATGAATTTAATAAAAATTACTATCTCTATATGTACAAAAAGCTACTTTTGAAAAATTCCGATTGGTAAAACTCGCAACGCTATAAACGTAAATAAAAACTAATAAAAATTTTAATAAAATAAAATTTAATATAATTTAATAACAATAATTCAAAACAATAATTAATGTAAAAAGGTATCAAAAACAAACGCGATCTTATAATTCGCAACGCTAAATCAAATGCGATCATTATTTTATCGCAACTCTAATTCAAACCGAAATTATTTCTTCGCAACTCTAATTAAAATCGCGAAATCTGGTCTCCTTCGCAACACTAATTCAACCCGTAATCAATTACTCGCAACGCTATTCCAAAAATCGCGATTTGCCCAAAACAGGATGATGGACCGATGTACATCGGCCAGTAAACAAACTACTACTACTACTACTACATACTACTAAATAAGAGCATAGTGACAAAGTGGTAAGGAGAATGATTCCCCAACCTTTCGATGGGAAATCATTCCTAGGCCGCCCTCTTCGTGACAGTTTGTCGGGCAGCCTCTTCTTCTTTCTTCGGGCGCCATGCCCGCTGAAACTTATATCTAGGCCCGAGATTCTTTAATCGGAAAAAAAAAAAAAAATGGAATCGCGAAAACTAAGCAAGAGTCACATGGACAAGCAACGATCGGAGTGATCGTCGTTCGTGCACACGTGCAGAAACTCGAGCACATACGTTCGTTTCGGACAACACCATCGCGACCGCGACCGCGACGAAAATTTGAAAAAGTCGATAGGCAAAGCTAGTGACGAATGGCAACCCCCAAACGTGCCAGCTTCACCGTCGACTATTCAAATTACATTTCCTGAAACAGG